AAAAAAAAAAAAAAAAAAAAAAAAAAAAAAAAAAATTCACCACTCCAGTCAAATTTACGTATAGGTGTACAAAGGGATGTACAGTGTAAAAAAAAAAATACAAAAAGGAGGGGTCGACGAAGAAAAAAAAAAAAGAGTCAAGAACAAAAAAGACTCGACAAGAGCCTTAGAGGTGGTCCTCCCCTTATACAAATATATCTGTCCATCTAAATATATTGTATCCACAAGGCAGCATAGGAGCATAGGTTCCACTTCACTGCAGACAGTGGGAGCATCTCACGGGATACCCAAAGGAATCTCACTAATCACCGGTTTCCTGTCTAACGTCAAGTTGCGTTACGTATAGGTACGATAATGGCGGCCCTGGGTCATTTCTTAATATTCCACGTGCGAGAGAAGATAAATGAAAAAAAAAAAGAAAGAAGAGAAAAAAAATAAGTCAAGAAAAAGAAAGGAAGAAAAAAAAGAGTAGACAACCAGACTGTAGGAGAAAGATAAATTCCGAGGGCGTCGCGACGCCCGGGCAATCTCTCGTATCGGTGACGGTAAGCGATAGAGGGATGATAGGGGAAGTAGGGGAAGTAGGGGAAGCGAATGCCACGAAACAGAAGAAAACAAGGGGCGGAAAATATTGGAATAAAGAAGAGAAAACTACCGGCCACAAACGCTCTAGCGGTCGCGAAAGGAACTAAAAAGTTGGTAGATAACAGTCCGAGTGTATGGGGTCGGCCATTGTTACATAAATAAACAGTGAGAAACGTCTAGACGTCGAGTTTATCGGATTCTTTTTTCTTTTTCTTCTCTTTCATTATCCGCTACTACTTTCACTCTTGCGTTTCTTAACCTTCCATTCTCCTGGGCATCCCTTTCGATATTTATGTCTTGTATATTATGGAAATGGATCATCGGGCAAGGATTGTTGACCAGAGGGGGAGGGGGGGGGTGATTGACGATTTCAAGATAATTTACGAAGATAAGGTAAAGAGGTATTGTTTTGTTGGTGCGACGAAGTTTCGCTGATTAAAAATAAAAATTTAGGAAAAAAAAAATATATATATATATATATACGTATATATGAATTAGACGAGGTATATAGGTATACAGTAATGGATACGCAAGAATCCTACAAGGTAGTAAAGTAGATCGTAGTTAAAATTACTTTAGCGAATCACCTTTGACCTTTCGCCCTATGGTACTACCCGTTGTCTGTATTGCGTTAGGATGGCTATACGTTCTTGCTAGGCTAAAGCCATCAGCCGCGATACCTTGTGCTTCTCGTACCTTAAGGAAAATCCTGTTAATCCTCTTTAACGATATATCCAGGGCTTTGTGAAAGAGAATATCGCGTTTAGCGAGAGTGCGAAATTGTATCTCGGGTTGCAAGGCATTACATCGCCAAATTTCAACGGGGATGACGGGGCTTGGCGGTTAAAAGTAAATCGAGAAGGGATCACGAGATGGCGCTGACGTCGATTATGAAAAATATCAAAGTGAGTCGCAGGGTAAAAATTCGAGGTTAGATCAGAGGGATCGGTAAGGGTTCGTGAAAGAAGTGATATTAAAGGGTTAAAAAAAAAGTCCCAGACAAATCCAGAAATTAGAAATACTGCCCTAAAAAAGAAAAATAGGTGCCGAAATTTTGTACTAAATAAATAAATCTGTCATTTCATTTTGAATTTACTCAACCTTCCCGCCGGGCCGACCTCCCGCGCCATCTCTCGAGAAACAGCAAAGGGAGATAATAAGACTTCCTATCACAAGACCGCTTAACAAGGGTGCTATTGGATAAACACCTCAAAGAGAATCAACCCCCCCGGCAGATCTTCTTTCTCTTTGACAAGTTTTAATAGACCCTGGCGTCCGCCATCTTTTCTAACGTTACCCTCCGAACCTAACCTCAAAACTCCACGTCCATCTTCGTAAAATATCCGATCGGTAAAGTAGGTGAAAAACAAACAGTCAAAGAAAGCTTATAAAAATTACAAAAATTTAAAGTAACCCTGTACCCAGCATCCCAATCTCGATTTTCAGGATGCAACATTACACCCGACGCCATATCACCGAACATTTTTTAACTCGTTCGCGAAATAACTGTCAACATCGAGTTTCCCTTCCGCTGTTTAATTTTTAAAGCTCAACCTACTATCCTCACTACCTCAGCCTCCCATAACTTGACTGTCAAGTCTGGGGATACGAATCGCGCGACATGCCCCATCCCCCAAGGCTAAACCTCAACGGAACCCCCCCCCCCC